CTACTAGCAATAAAATAACTACAGAAAATAAATGTGAAAAGGTGAGAGCATAAACTCTGACCATGAGTACTTTGAAATTTTGTGATCACTATTAACTATACATTTTATTTTGCAACCTTTATTTTCATTGTACTTTGATTACTTAACTACAACCTGGAGAAATAAGTATAATGTTACAGTAAAGAAAATAACAAATAAAATAGAAAGCTTTACTGAAAATAAAAATGTTTGATATTTAATTACGAGATTTTTATTTTTCATTTGTTTTAACTGTTTATTATTATAAAAGTAACTAAAATCATAAGAATATAAACTTATTAGGTAAGATAATGAAAGAAAAATAATAAAAAACCTTCATGGGGTATATGCACCAGAAGCTTCTACATTATGCTGTTCAATAGGGTCATGTTGATGCATGTGCATCATGTAATTTGCAACTTCTAACAGGGTATTTTTAGTAAGGCACGGTTCAAAGGTCAATAAGACAAAAAATTAATAAATATAAATAGATTTATACTGTTACAAGATTTAAGCTATTGAGAATAAACACTTGTGGTTTCCTATTACATTTTGTAGTTATTCTGGAACAAAAAATTAATTTAGATTTCCTAATTTTCATGATGGTTACAATCTGAACGAAAAATTCACGAGAAAATTTTAAATAAAAAAATCTTAAACATAATTCAAAAACCAGATATTTTGTGTATGAAATCCTTGTAATGGTTACCAATAATCTGCAAAATTTTGTAAAGACTTGCATACATTTTCAAAAATTATAGTACAATTACTCTCATAGATACTTTCCTGGTTACAAGCTGGGTGGATTCCACCCAGACTGTAATGGAAGGATTAACATTAACTGCCTGATACACAGTAAAGTCAAGTAAGGTCTAACTGCTCTATTACCCACTAAAAACTGAACAACACACCTCCGGATCATTATTAGCATACTTAATGTGATGCAAAGTCTATGATACTCTGGAACAACAAAATAATAGCATTAGGGGTGAGTTGACTGCTGCATTTGCCCAAGCTGCATGACCTTCTAGTTTAATCTAGCAGATGCTACAGCAGGCACTATTCATTGGAGAAATTCCCTCATTTGTTTTGGTACTGGCCTGAAGGATATGTGGTTCCAATAATCCTGTCTAACAAAAGAATACAGGTATTCTTAAAAACAGACATTATTACAAAAGGAATGTTACAGTTGAAGGAGGCATTGCTTCTCTCATCCCAATGGCACTTATGATAGTATAACTCCAAGTTCATTAGTGTTGAGATCATAGCAATTGGACAGGTGAAAACGTTCTGATCCACTGGGAACAATGGCTGCTTTACCATGATGCCTTTTAAAATATTCTGCAGTGGAAATGGTGTAGCAACAGATCAGCACATCTTTGGTACTTTGGTGGCCTCTAGAGCTTAGGCTATAGCTGCAATTGCTAAAGCATACAGCTTTAGAGGAACATCTTGAATAGTAGAACCAGTGAGACTGTCTCTGTGAAAGAAAAGACATCCCTCAGTCTCATGTAGTGTGATAGCTCAGTAACTCCTCACTAAACTTTTAGGCAAGCCTCTCACTGTGACTTTCAGGAGAAATGTCATCTCCTTAAAGCATCCAGATACATGACCAAATTTTCTGCTCAGTGGATTGCTCACTCCACAAGGTTGAATCTTTGGCACAGCTCTTTGACAACTGTGCTCTAGGGTATGATAAGTTATATCTTGAGTGTGTTATATGACAATTTAGAGCCTCACCATATCATTACAGTACATGCTGCCACATCCAGTCACAAATTAACTCATCATCACTCCTTTTTGTAAAAGCTCCATAGTATGGTTTCCATCATAAAAGTGTCATTCCAAAACCAAACCACACCACTGTGCGTGTGTTTTATAAGCCATATAGTATATGAGGATGATGGCTATCAAATGCTTATTTGAAAGGACTGATTGCATAGAAATCAACAGGTAACTGCATCTGGTAACCTGACTGGTATGTCTTTGCATGGAAAAGCAAAAAATACCCATTTCATTTTCCAGCTGCTTGAGGTATGTGATGGTTAAACAGATATGCCTTGAAAGCAATTTTTGTACACATACAACAGGTTTCACTTTTTCAGACAGAGATTCTTGTTGATTATGTTGCAACCTGTTGCCTAAAACATCTAGAGGACTTTTGTTACTGACTTTTGCATTTATAGATTTTCACCTGTTACAAGATGCTGCACTTTGCTTACCATGGATACAGTGCAACATGTTGCAGTTCAACTTCTTGATGTTCCTGGTGCCCCAAGTTGATCTATGTTCCTTTGTTTTCCAGTGCCATAAAGTACAAGATATTCCCATCTTGTAAATGTTAAATCCCCAATCTGAATACATTCTTATGAACTTCCTTTATTATCATTTTGCATCAGAAAAGGTTGTTACATACCCTTCCCACAAGTAATTAATTATTTGCTGGCATCATATGAACTACAAAATGTCAGACAGTGTTAAAATGTAATTAAGATACATGTTGTTTTGCATATTAAGAATTGATTTAATTTAAAGCACTTAACCTTATACACAACACTTTGTCATTAAATTTCATGATGTCCTTGATTAACTAAAGTTTTGGAATGTCATCAGTGTGCCTTGCTGGCCTGGAAGGTTCCTGGCTGACCCCTAATCCTGCTGGGTTGTAGCAAGGTGCCACATCCTGGATGCACATCCTCCACTCTCCTTAATTATTGATGACTTCACAATCACTTTGTGAAATCAGGTCTTGTCCATAAGCAATCCAAGAGAATCTCATGATATTCAGGTCATTCACTGCCACTACAATCTTTCTCTACTGCCCTATGCCACTGAATATGGGAGTAACCATTTAAGGTTGTATGAAAGTCATCAAAGATTGCCCATTGAGGTGTACTCAGCCTCTTTGTGTCAAGGATGGATGGAAAACTTGAATATTGCTCTCACCATGTCTAGCAAATGATCTGAATCCACAAGAATGCTCCTTCTAGACCTTGTCATATTTTCAACTTGAGTTCTTACAACCACCATAATTTCTTCATCTATGCTGTAACATTTAATGTAATTATCTCAGAAAGTTACCTTCCATGTAACATGATTTACAAACACTGCTGTATAAGAAAGTCAAATAAAGAGAAACATCACCAAAATTCAGGCACAATGATATCTACCCAGTAGTTAAAAGTATCCAGAAAAAAAAAAAGGTTCCGGACTGGTAAGCAAGGTCCTTTCTACAAGGTCCATACAGAAACATGTACATGCTAGCTTGAGACTTAAGTTGCAGCATGGAACCTTTACTTATGTACAAGGATTAGCATATTTATGACCTTGTGACATCCAGTCAACACAGTTGTGATTAACTACATTCAAAAACCAATGGAACTTTTGAAAAATGACTAGCATGTTCCTTATTAGATATATCCTGTAAGAGGTTGAAATCAGTAGTCATTTCAGCTACGTATAGTATGCGTATCTTCATGAAACTTTGCATATTATCAGTAAACACTACAAGGCTTTAGTACACAAAATATCAGACTTTTTAAATTAAGTTTTAAGATTTTTTTTAAGTAATGATTTGGTTGTGTATTTTATCTTTTTGAATGCTGAAGATTCATCATGCAGGGTAATTTTAAGATTAAATATACTTTCATGCAAAATCTTTATAACCTGCTGATAATTATCAACCATTTTTTTGGAAAAAACAATATTTTATCTGTTATTTTCACTATTGTATCTCTGTATGGGTTTGGTTGATTTGATTGACCTCGTAACCACCATAAAAATTAAGAAATAGATATTACAAATACATTTTTCATATAATACAAAACCACAAATATTTAGACAAAATAGCTTAAATCTCATAACATTATACATGTATATATACATATATATTTATCATTTTTATTTTATTGATTTTTCATTGTGTCTGACTAACATTAAAGAAGCTGCTTTGACATTGTGCACATGCATTTATGTTGCGATATCCAATAGTAAACCGGCCTTTACAAAGTGACCCATCTTGGCTTTGTTTTAGTGGACCCATGTTATGTAAAATACAGTCAGATTTCAGTTATAATACATTAGATGTGTGTTTATATATTATTTACAAATATGTTCGATAAGTTTATAAATTTCAGTTATTTTTCTCAAAGTATAGAATAGTAAATAAAGAAATATAGAAAACAATGATCTCTACTGCTTACAACGGTGAAGAAGTTTATACACACTTGTACCTTTGCATGCCGTGCCTTACTTGCTAAGCCTTGCCAAATTTCACATGTGGAGGATGTAAAACAAAATAACATTTTTTAGGTTTTTTTTATAAGCATTTTGAAATAACAAAAAACTATAAATTACTCTATCATTATCACAGAATTCCACTGTAATTTATCACACTTTCTAACTAAACTGTATTTGGGTCTAAAAAATTGTTTTTCGAACAACATTTTCACTTACTCCTTCCCTCTGAGACTCAAGAGAAAAGACATAATTTTGGTAACTTTCCACCTTCAAGAACCTGAGAAAACCAAATGGGGGAATTCTGAGCTTTTGATTTGTTACAAAATTATGAGAGATCAAAGTTGGTGTACGTAAGGAAGTATTTCCAATAATGGAAGAAGTGGGTGAAGCCACTGTATTTGATGCACTAACTATAGTGATATCACAGCAAATGAAAGAGATAAGAGGCTCTTGTAATGTATTCTAGCTTATCAATATTAGTAATTTGAATTTTATTGGTAAGAAACTATAGACTTTGTATTTAGACATCAAAAACATCTAATTTGAATCAAAGCTGCATTCAACATACCATGTGACCCAAAAAATCAATATTTAGGATTTTTTTTAATATTTACTTTTAAATTAAGAAATTAACTAATGCATAAAATTTGAATTATAATCTACAATCATGATGATATGCCTTTTGACCCCCTGACCATAGGAAGACCCGTAAGAATAGGGTTAATAGAAGATGATCAACATACCGAAAAGATGCCCATGGAATAAAATATTTCCAAACAGATTCACCAACAGACTCTTTATGGACCTCATAACAGTAAAACATCCACACAGACATAACCACATATCTGTGTCATAGCAATCTATAAAATATGAAATGAGAAATATTATATGAAAATATGCAATAACCTTCAAACAAAGCCAATGTTGGGGAAGAAACAAAATGATGTAAGTAACAGTAGAATGCATTTCATGGAAAATTTGAGAAAAACTAAAGGCTTAAAAGTCCAAACAGCATTTACTAAATACTAAACAGAAAGAAAACAAGTCTTAAAACAGGCAAAGAAAGAATAAGCACAGTCTGTCATATGAAATCAAGGCCCCTAAACCAAAAAAGGTTTGTGAATAACAGGAGAATGGCTAATTTATTAATGAAAACAAGACATCATAGTAGGTTAATAATGAAAAACAGTAGGAATGAAAACCAAGAAAAAATTATTTGAGTATGACACTAAAAAAAATTACACCAGGATGGAATCAGAAGAATATCATAAAGAGCAAACTCATGTAGGTAATAAAGCCATGACCGTTAATTATCAAAAAGAATTCTGTAGCTAGTTTTTTCATTAACAAGAGTCACTTTGAAAAAAGGTAATGGAGACTTACAATATTATGCTGAAAAAGGTAGCATGGGATTCTTATTTGTAGATTCCAACACTTGGGAATTCCCAACATGTCTCAAACATCCACTGAGGATGACCCAGTGTGTAACAAGACAGTATGATATGTATTAAACTGAATGCTCATTAAGGAAATTGAAAGAAGGTTGTGTAAAATATAAAACATACAAAACTGGAATGCTAGCAGAAGAGGCAGCAGAAATGGGAAATTAAATATCTTGAGACTTTTACAGCAGACTCATAACAGCACAGACAAAATCACTTTAAAAAAGAAAAAATACATGGTCATTATTAGATCACAATAACAAGACTACATAAAACTATGTCAAAGACCGGCTGATTCAGAGTGACATCATTGGGTGATGGAAAGGATTGATTGCATACTGCAACAGACAAAATGTTGGAGAAACTATTTTACTGAAAGGGATAAGTTAATATATTTCAAAATAACAATAACTGTGTATGTAATTAGATACTTATAAAATTTGTTTATTGTTGGAAGTATGAGAAGTTCATTTACGAGTTATTTTAAGGCACAGGAGAAAGGAGGAGACAAATTCAGTTATCTCAAAACTTTCATTCATAAGAAGTTTACCTTAAAATCCCTGCCAGTAGGATTGTCATTGCTAAGCTCCCATGTCAAAATAAATTTAGACTGCTACATTTTAAATTGTGCTGTTGGAGTATAAATTGTAGTTTATTGACATAATTTCAACAACACAGGAATAAATATGCATAAATATCTTTTATGGAAGTTAAAAGTGATATGCAGCCAAACTATGAACAGGGATTTTATAATAAATGTTTTCATAAATTGAAATGACTTTCTGGTAGATAAAAATAAATGCCCACTTCATCTAATGGCAAAACTGAAAGCTTCAAAAGCTATTTTGCAATGAGAGATTAACAGTTTAAGCTTAATAAACAAAAACATATCTTAAGTAAGTTTTGACACCATAAAGAAATAAAGCATTCTAAGCCAAAATAGTTCCTTATAAAGGACTAGATATTGTAAGATCCAGAGTTTTTAAGAATTTGTAGTGTGTACTGGAAGGATTTAGACATTTTTTGGCAATAAAGTTAGAAATTTTTTTTACTTTTATCTGGAGAGTAAAGGTCTTTTTTTTTCTAACTTTATTGAGTGATGGAAGGGATTGATGGGAGTTAAACAAACTGCAACACAGGAAATGTTGGAGAAAAATGATAATACTATTATTAATAACTTCTAAAAAAAAAGATATCAAAACAGATTTAAAGATAAATTGAACTATTAATTAATGTAGATAATTTAATATACTGGTCTAACTAGGAGTATATAATGTTACAGGCCAAAACTTACACCGAATTAAAATGCACTGATTCTTGAGAATCCTCACTTTTATCAATATATTCAGCTGTAATACAAATAACTGTGTATAATAATGCTCACCTATTAAATATGAAAGCAACCTTTCTCCACTTTTCTTTTCTAAAACTGCCCGCTGATCAAATTCTAATTGTCCTCTAGTTGTTTTTGGTTTAAAAACCTGTCTCGTCTGGCAAGTTCTGACGTTTACTTTTGAAATATCTTCTTCATGTGAATAATGATCACAATGGGTTTTTCTTCCTTGGTTCTGGTCAACTACATATTTCTCTTTTTTCATGCACTGAAACTGTTTATAGGAAGTACTCCCAGGTTCTGAAGCTTTTCGTGTACCTGCATCTTCAGATTCATTAAAGTTTCTTAACATATGTCTCTTGTCACCTAAGGTCAAAGTGTAATATCTGTTATTCATCACTGAAGTTTTAAAAATTAACAGACTGGTAACATTTAATGCTTTGTAACTGTTTCTCTCCAAATTTACCTAACACTCATGGTCTGCACTGCACAACAATATACACAGAAAAGTAAACATGATATTTTTAACAACATATGCCTATTATTGATTATATTCTACTAAATATTTTAATACTTTTTTAATATTATAAGACAAGTTAACTTACTAGATGTGAATAAAAAATAATAATATAAGGTCTTCCCAATGACTGAGCCTAAATATTAAAAAATATCCAGAACCTAAACTTGACTAATGTTTCCCATACTTGTTGGTACATTTACAGACCTTCAATCATCACTCCAGCAAGAAAACAGGCTTCTTTGGAAGCCTTCCTCGCAATTTAAAATCAATTAACATATCTCTTGTTCGAAAGCTTGAGGCTAAAAATATTCTGCACCATTTGGTATTGCAATTTCATAAGGATAATTTTAAAATTTCAATTTATCAAACTTGAGATTATATATATATATATATATACTAGCTGGAGTATCCATCCCCTGAATGAAAGTTATGTAAATTCATGATTAATGAAAGGTTATCTTAGGATGTGAAAAATTGCTTCCCTTATACATAATTGTAAAAAATGCAAAAATGACCAACTGAAAATTTGTATGTATCTCCCCATGAACCCAATGAACTTCCATACCAAATTTGGTGAAAATCCATCCACAGGAGGTGAGGTAGTGGTAAAAAACACAAAATGAAAAACTGAAAATTTGTATGTATCTCCCCATGGACCCAATGAACCTCCATACCTTCAGAGTGCAAAATAATAGTAAAAACCACAAAAATGCCCATAACAACTGAAAATTTATATGTATTTCCCCATGGGCCCAATGAACCTCCATACCAAATTTGCTGAAGTCCATCTACAAACTGAAAAGTAGTTACATGGACATGCAACAGACAGTACTATTATATTTATATAGATACACATATAAACACACACACATACATACATATTCAGTATCAAAAAGTATTATGGTAGTACATGGGTGATGAAATTACAAGTCACAAAGAGTGAGTAATTGCAACTAAATAGTTAATTATCATTAGTACAATGTATTATAACAGAAAATATAAAAGAAAAGCAAAAAATCCATACAATGTACTTCTATTTTGTATTTTCTTTAAACAGAACAGTAAACCTTGTTCTAATGCTACCATAACTTTATCAATGTATGATTGTGAAACAATGTTTCAAATGTCTTATATTATTCCCAGATTTTAGCCAAGTTGTTTGGTTGTCATTTGACCTTCTCAATTTCCATGTAAGCTCATACTCCCTTAATGCTTTCAGCATGGGCTCAATCCCCGGGACCGACCTTGTAACCATTTTGTGCATGTTATAGTTTCATGCTATAACTTTGAAAATCGTAAGCAAATGTTAACAAAATTTGGCAGATTATCAGTAAACATTACAATGCTTTAATATGCAAAATATCTCATTTTTTATTAAGTCTTAAGGTTTATAAAGCATGTTTTTCTCATGTTCTTTTTTTCTTTTTGCATGTTGCCTATCTATCATGCAAAGTAATATTTCTTTTAAGATTAAAAATACTTTTATAAATCAGAAAATTTTTTAATTTCACACATGAAATCTTTATAATGTCTAGACAGTTATCAAATGTT